CGTTGTATTCTCTTTCTTCTTTTTTTCAGCATGGAATAAACTTATTACTTGTTCCTTTGCATTAAATAATTGTGTTCACTGTAAGTCAATCTGAATGTGCAACGAATCACTTGTGATATACTGTATACTGTTTCTTGTTTTTCTCTAAATTAGGCCCTACAAAATCATTTACCAAATGAACAAGCTCATAGTATGAGCTCTTGGGTGTGAAGTTGTACAATAATTCACCTTTTGAAAGCTGAACAGAGTATCTGCTGTAGAACTGTGATAATGTTGCCACCTTAACGTCTTGCATTGCAAGAATTACTGTATTAGTCAAACCTGCTGGGAACAAAATTCTAACAGAACTGAATTCTAATACTGTATACCGTATAGTGACAAGTTTAGAATATAAATGAGGAATTATTATATGAACATTATGCAACATATTTGTAAAATATTGTTTACAGTCTACAGTGTTTACAGTAACAGTCTTGTTTAGACTACTATGTTTAAATCTGGTCACCATACAGTATAACTGAGTAAAGAAAATGCTGCTGAATCAGTACAAAGGTAGCCCAGAGAAATGCCTTGAACAGAAGGTTAATGTAATTTTAATTTATTTTATCCTAAACAGATGACACTACTAAGGGGCTTGATAGTATTTAGAATGTTAAAATTATTGACAAAGTCAAGTCAGAGAACCACTCAGAGGACAAAAGGAAACAAGCACACGGTGACAGAAGCAGAACTTAAGTATTTAGGTCTGAAAAAATAAGATCTTATTAAATTAAAGGGGTTGGAACAAACTGTGCAGTTATATTGTTGAAGCAGATTCTTCATCCTTTGACCTCTCAAAAATGAGCTGAATGAGACCCTCAGATCAATAGCCTACTGGCAACCAGCTAAGGAAACTGGGCCTGCTAGTCATTCATTTGTAACCTTTCTTAGGGTCTAACATTATTTTTTTCTGTTAATAATTCTATGGAACCTTACCTTCTTGCTCTCCCTGTCAGACGATCCTTGCCTTTTGCTTTGCTGCTTACCACTGGAACATTTTTGGAAGCCTTTTCTCTGTTGCGATGCATATAACCTATAACAAAATAAATAGGGAACCCAAGATTAACCAATTAAAATAGACATTGCAACCCAAAACCACTATTCTTATCTGTTAAATGTTCTTCATTTGGTTGGTTTAATATTTTAATACTTTAATACTCTCTAAATTCTATAAGCTTTAAGGACTGTGATGAGTATACTTTGAGCACTAGATTGATTCAACAAAAACAAATATTTTGTTTTGGGTACAGAACTGTGAGGTCAACCACAATGCATAATCAATTTACAGAGATAATAAAAGCTAAATAAGCAAACATAATTACTGTAGGTAATCTAATAAAGTTACACAAATATTGATTTAAGTACTGTACTGCAAAACTGAACAGATGCAGCAAAACAAATATGTGAGTTTAAGAGAACTATAACAACTACAGTATATACAAAATAATTTCTTGCTATTTCCATCATGTTCATGCAGAAGAAAAAGATGCATTATTTCACAGACTGTATTGTATAATAATTTGGAGATGGAAATTGTAAATGTAGGCAACACACAAGCTAAAACAGTTAGACTTCCACTGAAATACACTGAAATTCTGGTTCTATCAAGATAATGAATCCCCCAGAAAAGCAATACACTCAAAGTGAAATTATGTTGTTTTCTGTTTTCCATGTTCAACTGGAAGCATTTAAAAATTAACAAAAAAAACTGATCTGGGAACAATGTCTCAGTTTTCAAGCAATGCAAGTATTTTCATTAAAGACCTTAATAATGAAAAGCATATTGCAATTTTAAAATTCACTTCAGAAACAAGTGTCTGCAAAACCCCTGAGCATGAGAGATATTTTCATTGCTGTCCTCAGGCAGCACCATTTCTCCATCTTTAACCTAACTTTTTATCAATCCTTCTAGTAATGAGATTGGACTGAAAATATTTGTATAATATAAAACTCGTGTGGCATATTCTTCAGGTCCTATTTTTGTTAATAAGAGAACCAGTATGGGTTTCTTAATATTTGGCAAATTACTGTGTATAGCAATAATACAGAAAAAATTAAATCTACTAAATCCCAAACTAAAGAAGGAAAAGTATGGTACCCAGCCCACAGACTTTAGGCTCAGATTCTCTATATTAAAAATTATTTTATTAACAGAACTTGCAGAGATGGACTGAAGTAACACTACAATATTGGCAACTCATTATGGGCAATCGTTTTATAAGAAAGGTTAATACCAACCTCTTGTTTCAGGGTCAGATAATCTTGGATTAAACTTCCTTGGATTTCTTCCAACTGCAACACAAACAAACTTAATTAGTTAAAGGGTTCATACTCACATACTGTAACAATATGATTATTATTAAGTAAGCATAAGTATTACTGTAAATATTATTATTTTGATCACTTTCTAACATTTACATTTTGGAGGTTGGTGTTACTGTAAATGGGGTTCACAGCAACTACATTTTGGGAGTGAATTACAACCATATTTTTGCATTCCTTTTATGCAAAAGGAATAGGTGTTGTAATTACTTTTAAAATGATTTATAAATGTTAGAATGTGCCTGTCATTTCAGAGATGATACAGCACATACGTCCTCCTCCTAAAAGGACCAAACAGCGTTAAAGAGCATGACCTTGAGGTGAATGTCCATTGAGTAGTCAAGCAGACATCACAAAAAGAAAGCAAAAAACCCTTAACTACAGTCCATCTACTGTAGTTATATGAATCCATCAGGGTAAATGCCCTGAATGTATTTTGTAATAAATATTTACATAATTACAAAATATCAGTTGCTTTTATCACAAGGTTACATTCTATGAAAGAGTTTGGTCCTTTTATGAAGAACAAGCATGTTTTACCCTCTAAAATTATTTTATGGACTGAACAGAACAGGAAAGACCTCTGGTGCCAAAACTGTGCAATATGTGTTGAAATGACACCTACATTTTGCCATACTAACAACAGCAAACACATTTCAGAATAGCTGAAAAAATATGTTTGACAAAAAATATACTTTCATATAATTTATATTTTACTTAAATTTATTTCTGTTTTTGCAATTTGCCTGTGTCAGAAAAATTAAATATGTTACCTGTTCATTTCTCAGGACTTAATAATGTTAATTTCTGGAACATCTAAGAAAAAAAGGCTTTTTTCCAAAATATTTAAATGCCTGTGTAGGTCCCTTTAACCTGGTAGTGTGATGCTGGAGGACTTTCACAAACAAACTGTTTGTATACTGTACATACTGTATAACCATTTGTAGGGTTACCTGCATCCTATTTGCTATAATCATTAATAACCAGAGAAATTCTGAAAATGGGTCTGAGGCTGGACCAACTCTGGTGTAAAAACCTTTCCAACCTCACTGGCACCCTGCAAACGTTATTTTAGATTATGGGAACTATGCTGCAAATATATTCTATATATTCTATATCCTGTATATATATATATTCTAAATTATCTTGCCTTTAGACCTAGCATATTAGATCTGGGTTCTGAACTAACACAGTAAAATCTGCCAGGACTGTATTCTGTCTTGTGCAAATGTCGTCACTTTTCTTTTCTCTGACTGGCCTCTAACCCACACAGCTACAGTGCAGACTGCCACAGACGGTGAAAGACACAGCTGCTTGGTTACACTGCCCAGTAAAAGTAATTCAATATCAGAGAATGTATTATACTAATAGATTTTCAGCTTTCATTAGGAAAAAAAAAAGAGGTCAGAGACGTAATCCGAAAATCTGTTCTTCAGTATTAAACAAATCGAATTTGGAAACAAGCAGATTAGTGAAGCTACTGTATGTTATGGTACCTTCACTTTTTTCGTTCAATGTGGAATGATTCACCACTTGCCTGATGTTAAGCTTGTTTGATGACACTTGGCAGTGTGGACTTCTGCTGTCTAATCTTGTTTTGTATTAGTTTCACATGCATGTTTATGTCCTTCAGCTCATATTAACAACATCAATTGTACTAACCTATTTCAGCATCAGGGTTTGGAATTACGAAACCAGCTACAAACTGTACATACAGTACCAAACTTGTGATAAAACAAGTACAGTGCCTGAAAGTACAGAAAGTCATCGCCACTTGTATTTCTCACAATTGTTTATATTGCAATCTTAAATACCTTTATTCAGGATTTTTTCTCACTGATCTAAGAAAGCAAAAAACGCATTACTATAGTTAATCTAGTTATACAGTATGTACAGTACACATACAGTACATATAAGTGTGAATGCATATTTTCTAAACAAGTGCATAATAACATCATGTGTTGCATGTGTCACAACCTGCACACTCATCAAGTTGTTCAATTTGTGACAGTTTACAAGCCTCATAGTGCTTTACAAAAGGTTTAGTGCCAACTGGAAGCGCTACTGCTGAAAACTAGTGAAAAGTTCAAGAAGTTGTTGTTTCACAGAATTCTCATTATTCCTGGCTGCCTAAACCCAACTCTTTCCATGATGGCACTCTGCCATTTGTAAACTGCCTCTTGAGGAATTTGTTGATTTTTCCTCCCAATTTGTCGTTATAAAAAAAACAATTAACATTAGTACATTACACCTTTATAGTTAAATCACATACTAAAGGCATTTAAAGGTAAATCCATTCGTAGATATTATTGGTGGCATTCCATATTAAAAAAATTGAATAAACCACTCAGTTTTAAATTATAGCACATCAAAGACTAAAAATCCTTTTTGTAAACACTCTTTATATATGTAGTTCTGTATGATATCCCTCCCTCTATAAAAAAATTACATGATTTTACTAAACATTGTTGTTAACTCTAATGTTTTTTACACCAAACAATAACTTTGCATTGTTCTCTTAAGGATTCAAATTTATATTAACTATTGTTATCCCTCTCAGAAAATATTACAAAGTGTATTAATTAAATATCTGCAATATGACAAAATGTATGGAACATGAATACTTCAGAGGGCAGCATGGTGGCACAGAGGTTAGCATTTTTGCTTTGCAATGCTGAGGATCTGGGTTCAACTCCTGAGTTCACATGCATTTCCTCCAGGTGCTCTAGTTTCCTTCCACAGTCCAAAGACATGGTGATAGGTTCACATTTGGCCCAGGGATGAGGTGAGTATGTGTGTATTTGTGCCTGTGTGCCCTGTGATGGACTGGTATTCCATCCTGGATTTATCAGGATTTATCATGTGCAGTGTTTCCCTGGATAGGCTGTAGGCCACCATGACCGTCGGTTGGATAAGTGATGCGATATAATAGTGAATGTGTAAAACTAATGGGAAACAGAAACAATTAACTGTTCAGAGCCTATCACAAATTCATAGGTATTATTAGGCTCATGCTCTAATTTATTCTAATCAAAGGGAGAAGCACATTGAGTTACAGTATATTGCTTATTACACATGTGTGATGTGTTTGTCTGTTAATTCCTTTTCTCATATTTATTTTTTCTCATAATTCATTTGTAAAAATTGGATACAAGAAGGTTAAATGGATTGTCTTTTTTAACAAGCTCACCTCTGTTTTGACTTCTATTTCCAGATTCACCATCACTGATAAACTTTTCACGAAACCTAAAGAAATAAAGAGAGAATCATTCTACTGTACATTCAACCCACTTATTAGGCATACCTTGTGTCTATCCCAGAAGCAGAGAATGCAAGTTGGGGAAATTATCCTAAAGTGAAGCAAAAGTCACTTTTCCAGATTAAGTGCACTTTCAAAATGAAAAATGAAGGACTAAAATGAATACCTGTTCTCTATTAAATAAAGCCAGTTATGCTTTTGAAGGAAATTACAACACTGATGTATTTTTAGAATATGCAATGTAAATCTAACTATTCTGGTTTGTGAGAAACAAACTCACATTTCCTTATTTCAGAGGGAACGGTTCTGTTTTTGTAAACACTGAAACTTTTCCTAATCCCTTCTGTCCCTTGTGGACTATCACACATTCCCAAATAAGGAAAGGCATTCAAACCTTTTGAAACAAGATAAAAATAGCCCTTCTTTCCTTCATTTATATTTCATACTGCTTGTACAATAAAAAGCTGTTTATCAGAGTGCTGTTCCACTATGTGTTGGACGTCGTTTATAAATCCACATTTGAAAGCTTCCAGACCCTTAACCTGCAAAAACAAACACTATCCTTCAACGATTTGCCTGCAGATACTTATTTAAAACTGCCACCAAGTAAAAAGGAACCTCTACTTCCAGCCCTTGAAGACTTGTCATCCCTCAAAAAAACGAAATATGAATCAGTGTGAATAATTGTTTCTCCTGAAAATAACTTTTCAATTCAGACGATTAAGTAAGATACTGTATAGTTGCTATGTAGAGCTTTACATATTATGCTACTTAGCCACCTACACTAAATCAGACATTTTAAACACTGCATGAGGTCCTCTTCGACAAACTTGATTCATTCAGCATTTTTATGCACTTCAAATTAGGAACGAGCAACTCCTAATTGAATGAAAACCTCAAAGGACTTGTAAGCACTTAAATGGATTTACACTTGTCAAATGCAATTAAGAAACTATTACCTGCAAGAAGGGCAGTGATTAATCTCTTTCGTGTAAAGAATTTTACAACCTACTACAACCCAAGACTGACACTCAACCATAATTCCTGTTAAAGACCTGCAGTTAAATGTAAGATGTAATGTAACATGGTGAAGAATACCAAGAATATGTGAGTTCTTGATATACTGTATGTGGGAGCAGATTAAAGTCCTAAATATGCAGAACTAACTTGTTGTGATAACAAAAGCAAAAGCTGAAGTCACAGAGGAGTACAGCTCATCAGCACCAGTGACCCACCAAATAATAATAATAATAATAATTAATTATACATTATTTATCTACAGTACATTTGCTACATTTAATTAAAATTGTATACTTGTTTTTTTTAAACAAACTTTTATCATTATAATACCCAGAATAAAGATAATAGTTTAGCTTCAGAAAATCATACATACCCAAACACTCTATCCTGGCTCTGGATTTTATGATAACTCATTGAAGTGGCCCATGGTAGAAAACAACTGGAGGACACTGGTTTAGGACCTTAGTATAGTGGTACTTAAAGCCTTGTACATAAGATCAAATACAGTATACAGTATAACTGTTAGGCCAAATCATCATGTCCAGCCTTTTGACTATGTTGCTGATGAGGTGACAGTGGGACTGAAAATCTGTTCAAATAATCCTCTCCATAACTTTTTTCATCCTCTCCAGAAACTGAAGAAAATAAGGTAATGTTTTTCTTGTTTGATTTTATATCTGTGGTGTTATGTAATTAGCTTCATAAAAACATCAAAGAACTTTACTACTGTAAATTTACCACAGTTCTCTGTCAATTCAATGTGTTATAAAACAAGGGTCATGAAAAAGCATCCCAACATAGTGGGTTAAAAGATGTGTCTACGTTGCTTAAGTTGAAATTCTAGAATTTTGAGTTGAAACTTTAGAGGGAGCATTTTATTTCTGTACTAGTGATGTAAACAAGCCATAGAAAAAATTATTATAGAATGTATGGCTGACACTTTAGAGGTACATTATTTGTGGCCTGGCTAGTTTATACAGTTTTTCCCAGTTGCTTATGCACTGTGACCAAATGCACACACAGAGCGATCTGATCTCAATACAAAATTCCCGGAACAATGCACCAGCTCTGCAAGACTGAACACACATTCTACTTGTTTAAAGTCAATTTGAAATTCAGGTTGACTCATTTTCCAAAACACTTCACATTATCCTCAATGTATAAGCACAATAGTCATCATAAGAAAACATGGGCCATTACTACTAATACGTGAATCACGTGGTAACACTCAAAGTGACAATAAACTACTGTACAACAGTCTTCACCTGAACAAACGCAATCAGTCAAATATTTTCACTCAGTTCTCCAATATTAAAAGGGTGCAGAAGTGGTCAGTATAGAAAACAATGGAACAACAAAGAACACGCAGAGCAAGAGGTAAGGGAAGAAATGGAGGAAGAGGAAGACAACAAATTTCAAATGAAATAAGAGCCATTCTAATTAATCATGTAATCAACCATGGAATGAGTATGCGGGAAGCAGGACTGCAACCCAATCTGAGCCGGTTCACTGTAGCTGGAATCATCCGAAAGGCCTGAGAACAGGTGAGTGGGTAAAAATTTAGAGTAATTTATTTTTTAAACATTTTAAAAAGTTTTTTTTTTAATTAATGCAAGTTGCTAAATAAGAAAAAAGCTCACCAGCTTAGCTCTCTCTCTGTCCCTGAAAGGAAGGTCTTTTTAGAAGGCTCTTTCCATTCTAAGATGAGCTTACCATTAACACTGAAACATTTTGATTTGCTATTTTAATCCCTTAAGATGACATACTGTACAGTATCTCCTTCCAGAACATGCACATTAAAGAGAAAAAAGAATATCTACTATGAATCCTATTATTCTAAAACAGCTGTAACCACCAACAAATGTAGCATCTGTATAAGGAGGCACTTAGGCAATGCAATAATTGCCAAACTTACTTCATACACCATTAAGATAGTTTTGTCTATGAAATAAGATTCTCATTATTTACTGTTTAGTAAATGTCCTCTATTAATGAATTCGCCTGTCAAAATATCGGGAACGTTAACTCAACTGAACAGGCTCTCTTAATGTTTGGCACTGAGTGGCTGACTTGAAGAGCCTAAGAGAGATTTTCATCACCAGCTTTGGCCAGAAGAATAGAGATTTCTCACATTGATCCTCTTGAGAACTGGTACAACTGTAATGTAATGTTTAGTTCAATCCTATGCGCCATTACTCTCGTTACAATCTCAGATGGAGGCATGATGCTAGATGAATGGAATGCGAAGAAATGGAATAGAACTGGGATTTAAATATATAAAAACTTATCATACTATTGAGCCAGTGTGGCCCTGCTCTGAAGTGTCAAGCAATATTGATGCAACACCCTGTTCAAGCTGTTTTTGTGGATTCTGAGACCCAGCCTGTAATCAGTGAGGGCTTGTAACATTTAGACCAATGAATGTAGAATGCGGTACATATAATTAAGCCATTAATATTTTATTTATTACATTTTTAACATCTTTCATTTGTGTGATCAGAGTTCTGTACAGGTGACCGGTAAAAACCAGTATGTTGAGACGATATCATGTGATGATGCCTAGTAAGCTGTCATAAATTTAATGTAGAAATGATAATAGAGGCACGGCTAATGAAAAGAGAAGGATGAGCACAATATATAGTTTAATGGTAGGGAAACTGTATTTAGACATGCATACTGCAGTAGTAGATAAAATTTACTACAACTATCATGCAAAGGAGTTTCAAAAAGTTTGTTACTGCCCATTGCAAGACATCATAAACGTTTGCAGAAACTTACATGTTCTCAGTTTTATCAATATCCCAAGCACGTCTCCACTGTCCCTTGGCATTCTTGTGCCGCGCCACCCGTTCTCTGTCTATCTGCTCTCGTTCCTTCTTCCAGCGAATATACTCCATCTGCTCCTCCTTAAATGTTAGAACATCGAGGTCTGCATGGGCCTTTGGTCCATACTTCACAGCATCCTAGAATGACAGGAAAAAACTTACTTGAGCCTATTTGCTGTCTTAGAAGTCAAATTACTGAAGGATAGGGTTAGGGTTGAGACTTTCTTCAAAGAGTTTAAATAAAGTGCCACAGATCTGAGTGTAAAATATACTTCACTGAATCAAGATATTTCACTGAATCAAGATATTTAACCAAAGCAAACAGATTACATCCCTAATGGAAAAATTATATTTTTGACAAGAACTCTGTTATGGGAAATTTCATGTTGAATGGTGTTCTCAATGAGCATGGTTTCAGGCTTAACTAGGCTAAGAGTCTAGAATACACCATGAGTTTTGGATTTCTTTGTTAATATGCCTGTGCACTCAATGCAAATGCAAGAGTTTGAAAACAATAATCACTTTCTTTGGAGGTTTTAATTTTAGTGCAAGTTGGACAACATTCCCTTAAAGGACAAAGCATGTACTGCATATGGCCATATGTGGAAGAAATAAAATGTGAAGAAAACATGAAAATATGACATTTCCTAAATATAATTCCTGTCCAGAAACACAGCCATGCAATCAAAAATTGCCTATGTTTTGTAGGAATCCTAACCCTAACCCTAGATATGGATTTGGCATAGGTTAGGGTTAGGGTTAAGACTTTCTTTAAAGTCTTTCCATACTGTAATCTTCCACTGATCTGAGAGTAAAATATATTCACCGAAAGTATACCATATACTGTACAGTTAGCGGAATGCATGTATATACGTGAATGCTGCAGAAAAAAATACTTTCCAAGCATTATGGTCCTCTCAATAGCAGTATGTAGCACATTTCGAATCCAAATTACAGTACCATGCAGTATTGAACAAATGTTTTTTCCTTCCTTACTCTGACATTGGCTTAGAGAGCATTTGCTGCACTTCTGTTAAATAAAAGCATGAGGTATTTAGAGTACAGTACAGTATACAGAGGTCTCACATACAGAATATTGTAGAAGCTGATTTGAGATTTTAAACACATTTTTTCACAAACATGAAACCATTTTGGTAGAAACTGTGCAATTGATTTAAGAAAGTTGTTTTTTCTTGTAGAGCACTGCACTACGTGTAGGTCATCTTTCCCAAGTTACTAAAAGAAACATATAGCAAGCAGAGACCACCCAAAATCATCAACTACTACAAAATCCTTCTCAGAGACAGAGAAATGATAGATGGCCTTGACAAAGAAAACATTAAAGTATTCTTGTTTGCCTCAGAACTGGCAGTTCCATCCTGGGGCTAAGAAAAACATCTGAAAACCCAAACGTGAATTTAAAAAAATGATACCGAAATGACTTCTTAGAGGTATTTTGCATTTCTATTTGACATTATCACATTCTTTGTTAGTATTGCTGCATGCAGTTCAGAACAACCTCCAGTATCTTGTATATAAGTAAATGCTGTAGCAAACACTGAAAACATAAATATTGCTTGACACCTCTGAGCAGGGCCACACTGACCCGACATGATAAAAAGAACTTAGGAAGCTGAGGAAACATATTACCAGTAAATGGAACAGGCTTCAAAAATTGCAGACAGCACAGAAACAAAGACACAGAGTCAAGATGGGCATCTGGATCTGTGTAATTGGCTTCATTATCAAAAATGCATAGGTTGCACCTTTGTTTCTTCTCCTAAATTACAATTCAGCATCCATACAAACAGCAGCTCAGGCTTCCTGCATGCCTCATTTAAACATCCATTACCAGATTCTAACTAGCAGATATGGCCATGTCTTTAATGTCCTCTCTTCTGTCAGGATACAGAGAGACATTATTATAGAACAGAAGTGCTGTCAGACTGTCTAGCGACTCCAAACAAGGATGGGCACTGTCACATTTTCTAAGCTCTGCACTTTACTCTTCCATCAGATCCAAGACATAATGGAAATACAAAATCCAAAGCCCGTGATCACTACTAATTAGTTTAAGAGAAGAAAATGGATACGGTGTTTTCCAGAGATAAAATGCATATTTAACTCTCTACCACATTGATAAGTGTAATTCCAGCAATTTACAAAACTTCCATTTTATAATGTTATTTCAGTGTAATCAAGCACTTTTTCCAAATA